AGAGAAGCGATATCTCAATCGAACCTCAACGATACTACCGGTAACATCGGGGTGTGTAGCTATATATTGCGACGTCTTCGGGCAGTAGAAGCCACACTGTCAAAAGTCCTTAGCGAAATTTTCTAGTTATTAATTGTGATAGATTTTACCAGAAGAACTCAGATTTGCACCAACTGTAACTACCTTTATTATTATTATTATTATTATTATAGTTATAATTATTATATTATAATTATTTTACAATTATTATTATTATAATTATTATTATATAGTGACAGACAGGTGAGTTGTGACCAGCAGGGGGCGTCACCGCTCTGTGTTTCCTCTTCAGAAAAGAGAGAAGCGATATCTCAATCAAACCTCAACGATACTACCGGTAACATCAGCGTGTGTAGCTATATATTGCGACGTCTTCGGGCAGTAGAAGCCACACTGTTAAAATTTCTTGCAAAATGTTCTAGTTATTATTATGATTAAGCCCGATGGGTAAAACTGCCTTGTGCCACAAAGCACACTGAATAACTAATAACTAATAACTTTAATAATAATTATTATTATTATAACACTACTCATAATAATATTTTTGATTAAAGTAAAACATAAATAATATATTAGAAATTAGTTCATTATAAAGTAAAGATTATTATAAAAGTGTGAAACATATTCATTAAGGGGTTGTGTAGTTTTATGTATACTGGTGGTACAAACAGTAGTATTTGTAGTAGTAGTAGTGGTAGTAATAGTAGAAGTACTAATAGTAGTAGTAGTTGTATTAGTAGTAGTAGTAGTTTTATTAGTAGTAAAGTTAGTAGTAGTAGTAGTAGTAGTATTTTGTAGTAGTTTGCTGAAGTATATATTTGCTGCTGTAACATACAAATTTGCCCTGGGGATGAATAAAGTATATATCTATCTAGTAGTAGTAGTTTTATTATTATTATTGGTAGTAGTAGTTTTATTATTAGTAGCAGTGGTAGTTTTATTAGTAGTTGTAGTAGTAGTTTTATTATTATTATTAGTAGTAGTAGTTGCATTATTATTAGTAGTAGTAGTTTTATTATTAGTAGTAGTGGTAGTTTTATTAGTAGTAGTTTTATTATTAGTAGTAGTAGTAGTTTTATTATTATTAGTAGTGGTAGTTTTATTATTAGTAGTAGTAGTAGTTTTATTATTAGTAATATTAGTAGTAGTAGTAGTAGTAGTTGTATTAGTAGTAGTAGTTGTATTAGTAGTAGTAGTAGTAGTTGTAGTAGTAGTTTTATTATTAGTAGGAGTATTAGTTTTATTATTAGTAGTAGTGGTAGTTGTAGTAGTAGTAGTTTTATTAGTAGTAGTAGTGGTAGTTTTAGTAGTAGTAGTAGTTTTATTATTAGTAGTAGTAGTAGTTTTATTATTAGTAGTAGTTTTATTAGTAGTAGTTTTATTAGTAGTAGTAGTATTTTTAGTAGTAGTTTTATTAGTAGTAGTACTAGTTGTATTAGTAGTAGTAGTAGTTTTATTAGTAGTAGTGGTAGTTGTATTAATAGTAGTAGTAGTAGTTTTGTTAGTAGTAGTAGTACTAGTTGTATTAGTAGTAGTAGTAGTTTTATTAGTAGTAGTAGTAGYAGTGGTAGTTGTATTAATAGTAGTAGTAGTAGTTTTATTAGTAGTAGTAGTTTTATTATTAGTAGTAGTGGTAGTTTTATTATTAGTAGTAGTAGTCGTTGTATTAGTAGTAGTAGTAGTAGTAGTTGTATTAGTAGTATTAGTGGTAGTAGTTTTATTAGTAGTAGTAGTAGTTTTATTATTATTAGTAGTAGTAGTTTTATTATTATTAGTAGTAGTAGTTGTATTAGTAGTAGTAGTAGTTTTATTATTATTAGTAGTAGTAGTGGTAGTTGTATTAATAGTAGTAGTAGTAGTTTTATTAGTAATAGTAGTAGTAGTTTCATTAGTAGTAGTAGTAGTAGTGGTAGTTGTATTAATAGTAGTAGTAGTTTTATTATTAGTAGTAGTGGTAGTTTTATTGGTAGTAGTAGTAGTAGTTTTGTTAGTAGTAGTCGTTGTATTAGTAGTATTAGTGGTAGTAGTTTTATTAGTAGTAGTAGTTTCATTAGTAGTAGTAGTAGTAGTTTTATTATTAGTAGTAGTAGTAGTTTTATTATTATTAGTAGTAGTAGTTTTATTATTAGTAGTAGTGGTAGTTGTATTATTATTGGTAGTAGTTTTATTATTATTAGTAGTAGTAGTTGTATTAGTAGTAGTAGTAGTAGTAGTACATTACTCAGGGTCGTGTAACTGGTGCGCTTTGAAACGCTTTTATTGTGAAATCCGAGCAGAGCGGAAGTTGTCAGCTAATATCCCGCGGCTAAGTGTCCCGTGAGTGTGTGTCTGTTAAAGGTGAGAAGATGCTACCTTTATCTGTTAAAGACGACGAGTACAAACCCGCCAAGTTCAACCTGCTGCTGAAGCTCTCAGGATGGTTCAGGTAAACACACATGTCGATGGTGCTGACAGAGCTAACAGCTGACTCTGAGCTGCTATACCTTGATGCTAACCGGCTAGCCTGAGTCTTTATGAATATACATTACGTATATATAATATATGTCTGTCAGTTGTTACTGTGTGTGTTTGTGACCGTCAACAGCGGGTAACCCGGGTTAGTCTCTGGTCTGTCCCGGGTCTGTCCCGGGTTAGTCTCGGGTCTCTGTGATGGAGCTCGTCTCGTGTCTCCAGGTCGATCCTCGCAGACAAAACGTCCCGGAATCTGTTCTTCTTCCTCTGTCTCAACCTGTCCTTCGCCTTCGTGGAGCTCTCGTACGGAATCTGGAGCAACAGGTGAGCTAACACGGTTAGCATGTTAGCATCGGTGTGTTTGTTCAGCTCAGGATGTGCCACGTATGTCTTAGTGTGTGTGTGTGTGTGTGTGTGTGTGTCTCTCTGTGTGTGTGTGTGTGTGTGTGTGTGTGTGTGTGTGTGTGTGTGTGT